AAAAAAAAAAATTTTGAATTTACTTACTTGTAGCCAGAGTTAGAGGCGGTCGGATACTTATGACCGCTACTGTATACTGAATAATTTGTTATAGCATTAACAAAGATTTTTATAATGAAGTCCTAATTGACTAAATCAGCTACTTCATTATATCAAGGCATAACTGTATTTGCAATTTAATTTTAAAACAAATAAATTATATATGATTTATAATATATATTTATAGATAATAAAGATTCAAAATTTGAAGTATACTTTTTGAATATTTTTATTATCAAATTTTAAACATTAATTTTGTAATAAATGAATATTCATTTAATAAACTTGAATATAACTATTAAATATTATATAATAAAGCATAAAATTAAACTAATTTATTTTTATATTCATTTTTACTACTACTATTATTCAGATTTATTTAACAAGGATTAAAAAAACTAGATTAATAAATCTTAATAAATATTGAGACTCAAGCAATAACTTATTCATATTAATACTATTTTCAGGAAGGGTCTATTTTTATTTAAACACTTTTTTAAATAAATAAGTATATTAATTAATTTTTTGAAAAAAAAAATAAAATATACTTTTTTTTAAAAATATAACTTTATGAATATTTACAAAGTATTAAAAAGATAATTCTTTATTATATTAAAATGAAGTTTTAACCAATACTTTTAAAATTATAAAACAAAGTAATTGATGAATAATAGAATTAATTTTATCATAAGTATTTCTTATAATAGTAATTTACTAATTTCTTATATCAGAAAATAGAATCTAAGAAAATTGTTAAATATTTTCATTATTTAAATATCTTTTAGAATTATATTTTTCTGGATTTTTCTAATATTTTAGATTATTATTAATTTTCTAAATATTCATAATATATAATATATTCACTAGTAAAATATAAGGACTAATTTTTATTAGCTTTATTAGTTTTTGCTATATCTAGTAGATAAATTAGTAAGGATTCTTTAATAACTACAGTAATATATTTTATTTCTTTTTTTTTAAAAAAAATTAGATAAATAGATTTATAAAATATAAAAAAATTGAAGTAATTATCTTTAATTATTCTATTGTAAAATTAATTAATTCATTTCTAAAGTTATTAATTACTCTGTACTTTTTCTTACACTTTCTATATAATTATAATTATATAAAAAAGGTTATTAAAAACTAAAGTAAAATCAATTAAATATTTATTTATTAAATAATTAACAGATATTTTGTGAATAAATATAATGAACTGTTTAATACTATTAAAGTTGCTATTATCTTATATATTATATTATTAAATTTACAATTAAAAATAAAAAAATAAATAAGGAAAAGTATATTTACTATCATGACTTGCAATGAAAAAACTTACTATTTTATTTTTTAATTATTTTAAATCAGTATGAATTTTCTTTCAATTGCTAAACTTCAGCATATTTGTTTATATATATATTTTTATTTTTATTTAAAACTTGTAAAAAATATTTTAAGACTTATTTTAATATAATAAATATTATTTTTACATACTTAATTTAAATTAAAATAAATATTTCTAATTATTAAAGTTTATATCTATCTTTAAAATACTTATATTTTAATAAATTATTATTTTTCAATTTTTATTAATAAATGAATTCTTATTTTATAAAAATTTATTTAATTTGAATTACTATAATATATTATCTATTAAATTTAGATATATTTTATATTTATTTAAAAATATTTTAATAATTATTTTTGATTAAATAGATATCATTTAATTTCATAATATTTATTTATTAAATTTTATAATAATTAAGTTTTGATATTTATTTATTTTTTTTCTACTTCTTAAATTACAATATTTCTTTTTTGAAAAAAATAATATTCTATTTATTGCATCAAAATGAAAATATTTTTGTATTTTTTTTTATATTTTTTAGTTTTTTTTTTTTTTTTTCCTTTTATTTTTCATATTTTTATATTTTATTTCTTTTATTTTTTAGGATTTTTGATTGTATTTAAACTGCTTTTTTAGATTTCTATTTTAAAATTATAATATAAGTAAGCTTTATTTATTTTTATTTTTAATTATTTTATTTTATTTTTGATTTTATTTATATTTAATATTAGATGATATGTTATTAAATAAGTAAATTCTTATATTTTTTTTTATTAATTTAATTTTTTAAATTTTATTTTATTTATCTAAAAAATTTCAATTATATCAAATACTTTTGCAGTTAAATAAGTGAGTTTTTTTATTTTTTTTTATTTTTATCTTTTTTAAAAAAATTTAGACTGAAGTAATATAATATAAAAAACAAATAAAAATAATTTAATTAGAAGATTATATTAAATATATATATATATATTATAAACACATTTACTATCTTTTCTTTTAAATTTTTTTATAATAGTAGAAAGTAAAAAAAAAACTATCTTTTTTATATAATATTTGTAAAATAATTATTATATTTTGAATTTGAGGAATGAACTTTAAAAGAAAATAAATAAATAACTAAAAATTAGTAATTACTTTATAGAAATGGTTAGTTTTGACTATTGTGATTAATTATTCTTTATTTTTTTCATTTCTTAGATAAGACTATAAAGAGAAGAAATTGTTAATTTTTTTTTTATAAAAATTATAATTATTATTATTTTCTTGTAGATAATGATCCAGATTTTTCAAATATTAATTAATTGAAGATAAGATTATGGGGAGGAAGGAACCATTGATTTTTTATAACATTATAATTACAAAATAAAATTACTTAACTTTTTCAAACCTTTAAGTAAAGAAACATTAATCATTTTTAATTTTTTTAATAAAAACTATATTATTTAAATAAATTTCTTATACACATGTAGATTCCCAAATAGGGATGTAGATGGTAACAACCGGTTATGGTCGGTCTATTGAAGGCCTCTGACCGACTACCAGTTCAAAAGTGCAGTAATATCATAGGAGTTTTTGCTTATAAGAAGAGTCAAATATGATGACATATTTTAAAAATTTAATATTTAAAAAGTATTTTACTTTATGTTCTTTCCATAAGTTTTCTTTTACTACCATACCATATTTAGTGACGCAGCAAAATCTCGGACTTTATTTTATTAAAAATTTTAACAATTCATGTTATTAATAAAAATATATAATGAAATGATTGTTAATTTAAATACGAAAATTTCTTAGTTCACTAATTAAAAAAATGGTTTGGTCAATCAGATACGGTCAGTTAAATATTATAGTGATTGATGAAATACATCATGCTTATACTCAATCTAATATTTCAAAATCAGGTTTTATATACATTCCATATTGATCTTTTATGTAAACACGAATTTCACTTTGACCAAATAAAAACACCAATTTTGACTGGCCTAACTGATTGTACCATACTTTTGGGCCTCCTAATTTAATCGTACCGAATAAATTAACACCAAGTTCGTCACAAAATTTAGGATCCTTTACGGTTGTTTCATACATTTCAATATAATTTTCTGGATTCAGCGCTAGTTCAAATTCCTGCTTTTCATTTACTTCTGTACCAATTTCTACTATCCTTTTAAATAATCCATCTTGTTTAATGCCATAAGTCATATTGATTACTCTTGTAGAAATTAAATTGGGATATAATGTATACTGAAACGATCCTCTTAATACTGCATCAATAGGTTTCTCAGGTATAAAAATGTTCTGAACTAGATGCTGAAATTCTTGTTCAATACATTTTTGTAAATATTTTGATTCACTAAAACCACCTACTAAAAAAATTGTAAAACAAGATTCACTGAAATTTAGTTGTTCATGAATCAATTTGATAATTTGTACTATAATAGGATCGAACATTTGTTTGACGTCATCATAGAAGAGTTTGACAATCCATTTATTTCTTTCCAATTCGTCTTTATAAATTCCAGCAACATATCGTTTGATGTCAGGACAAATTTCTTCAAGATTCATTTCACAAATATTATAATAATCCTTGTTTCCAGTAAATGAATGTTTAATTTCTTGATATTGCTGTACCAAAAATTTTAATTGTCCATCATGGTTTTTTTTAAGCTCTTTTAAAGCATCAGGACCCACTTTTTTCGTTATATATTCAAGAAATTCTCTATCGACGTAAATTGATCCGCAAAGTCCACCAGAACTCAATTATTTTTCTGCTAATGTGTCATCTGATAAAAGTTGTCTAATAGTTAACTCCACCATAGCACCTCCACAATTAACAACTAAAAACTGCGCTATTAATGGATAATTAAAAATTAGTATAAAAAAGTAATGGATGAATACATAATGCTTATATGTAACATATACTAACACAATGGCTTAACTTTTATCGTGTTTATACAATGTATAGCAGTCGCCTCACCTATTTATATAATTTAATACAGATCAATATGATTAAAGAATATAATAACCTTTTTAACTTACTTGCTGAAATTAATCGAATTGTATATGAATCTCCTAATAACTTTTGAATTTTAAAAAACTTTCGATAAGTAAATTTTGAAGGCACCGATAAAATTATATTAGAAAAATCTGAACTTTTTTTAGGTATTCTCTCGGCTATAAGAAAAAAATTTGCATAAGTAAATTATTACAGAATTAAAGATAGTATAATTGCAAACATACTCATTCTAAAAAAGCACTCCCGTAAATTTGAATAAATATCAAATTTAGAATATTCCACATTAGTAAAATCATAATTACAAATATCGAAGAGTGATATTGTATTGTTTTTTGGTGTATTGTTTTGATCCTGATAAATTTCATATCCGGAATATGTGGTTCCAATATCTTGATTAATGGTTTAAATTAGTTAATATTTAGATCATTTAAAGTAGCGAGAAACCTTATATTTCGACGGTTCCGTCGTATTATAAAATCGAAACAAAAGGTTTCGACTTTTGACATTTGCTAAATGAGTTTCCTCGCAACCTTAACATTATTAGGAAGAAAAAACTTAAACAAATCACCTAATGAACATTTAAGATCTTCATTAATAAAAGGAATCATTTTCAATTCTTTAATATCAAGGTTCCTATTTTTAAAGGTCATAGTATGCCCAATTGTGTCTAAAGAATATTCCTCTCCTTCATTATCGATCTTTAATAAACTTGAACGTAAAATACATACATTTAAATTAAGTTTATTTGATTCATCATGAGTGGAATTGATTATCTTGAAATCAATAGCGTTACTTTCCCAACCAGCTATCTTAATATGATTAGGACCAAAGTTTGTTGTTGAATAATCCGAGTTAATAAAAAAGTAATTATTTTCATGCAATGTAGTATTTTCAATATTGATCCTATAATAAGATTTATCTGGTTTTAACAAAATTTGAGCATTAATAAGATCAACAACTTCAAAAGATCGATTCCTCGGACTAAAAACAGATAATTTCGAAGGTTTTCCAATAATAAACCATAAAATATGACATTCCGTTATCCTTAAATTTGAGGTTTTTATAATTGCAGTGAATCCATTAAGGTCATACATCTCAAAACTAATACAACATTCTTCTAGTTTTTTTTTTCCTATAACAATCGAACCAAAAACTTCATAATCATTATCTTTCAGTGATGGTTCTATTTTTACATATTTATAATGCTCAGCATTATTATCATCTAAATCTTTCAAATCAGTAATCCCTGTCATTATAATTTTAGGATGATTTTGCACATTTAATAATTTAGCTATTTCGTTATACTGATTTGCTCGAGGGATATCAAACGTGGAAATTATTTTATCAAATTCAATAATTTCTAAATCGCAATTTGTATCTTGAATCAAATTAGATAATTCAACGTCATTGTCAATATCGATAATTTCTCCAGCATGCGTTAAAAGATATGAAACGTTCAAATGATCTAAATATGACTTTAAAGATTCAGAATTTAAAGATTCCAAACTAACGTTATTAAAAGAATTAGATGAAATATTTGGTAAATTACTATGAAACGATCTTCCTAAGACAATTCTCTGTGGAAATATATGCCCAAATTCATCAAACGTATCTTGTAAAGCTTTATAAGGCTTGTTACTATTAAGTGCTATATTTATAGATTCTTCAAATTTTTTTGTGTGCTTGACATAAATTTTATCTATGACAATCTCATATTGCTCACATTTGACTACCAAATGAATATGATCCTTGTTAACTAAATTATTGAACTTATCATATTTTTTAATAAAAGGAAATGAACTTGTATCTTTAACTGAAGCGATATTATTAGATATGAAGAATTCGTCTAAATTCGTTGCCGGCTTTATAAATTTCAAGTATGATGTTTTAATTGGTTTTATTACAGGTATATCAATGAACTTAAAGGCAATCTTCTTGCTAAATTCCACTTCATAAATCTTATAAAACTTATTAAATGTTAAACCCTGAAATAGAAGGAATAAATTGGCGTGCTCTGCCCATCTTTTAAAACTTAACTTTTTCCCAAAATTAGCAACCCCAGGCTGTATCTCGAAGTCATCAAAGTCATATATATCAGGGTTTAATTGAAAGACTGGAATGATATCGATATAAGAAATTATGTCAAACATATTCTTTTGATACAGATTATTCATCCAATTGGTTAAAATCAGCTTGGATGTTATCACTTGCCCATTTGACGTTTCTACTCTTGGTAAATGACACCAATCGACATTACTGAATGGATTTTCTTTATTATATTTGGTAAAATTATATATTCCAGTTAAATGAGTTTGTATGGTATCTATTTGTTTTGAACTAGCTAAATTTGAATTTTTGATAAATAATTTGCCACCAACCATAACTTTTCTTGCGAAAATATGGCCATAAGATAAATATAAATTTTCGTCGTTTTTATCCTTACATTTCGAAAAAGATTCTAACAAATCACCTTTATATACGAATTCAGCAATTGGAAAATTAATACAAGCATCGGAAGTTTGTAAATACGAAACCTCACTAATATTATCACGAACATCATTGTTGAGTGTGAACAAATTTGTAGAAGAAGTTGGATCGTTTATATTAGTGTAAACGATAGGTTCCCCTTTATATAAGCTTATTTCCAACCTGCCATCATCGGAAAAAATAGCTTCATTACTTGGTCGTATGCCATGTCCATCCAAAAATAAACCATGATTCAACTTGAGTTGTTGAACTGTTTGTCGTTCTGTTGTTAGTCTTGCCGCAGTAATTTCCGCAGTAATCGACGATTTTTTAGACATTTCAAGAGAAAATAACAAGAAAAATTCTTTTTTTTGAGTAATCTTGTATGATTTCCCAATTAAGAGTCAATCATGTGGTAAATCATATGGGTTCACACAAATAATTCGCCTCTCATTGTTTTCATTGTTTGTTGGTGCATTTCGGTTACACAATTTCCGAAAAAAGGTATAAAAGTTTCACCTTTTAATTTTTTAACGATCTTTATTCTGGAAAATAATTTGCAAAAATGCATAATTTCATCCTTGATATTAATCTTTTTAAAGGAAATAAAGGAAATAAAGAAAATAAAGAAATTGACGTCATAGTAAATTACACACATTCCGAACCTCCTGCATTAATCAATTTCAACTTGAATATCAATGAAGAATTATCAAAAATTCGTATTATACTCGAAGAGGATAGCTTCATTAAAATGCATAACACCTTCTCATTTTCACATTTCAAGGCAAGTCAATTTGTTGAAATAAGACGTGAAGAGGAGGAAAATATTAAGTTAAGTGAAATTATAAAAGTGGTAAAAAATTCCGATAGTCAAGATAATTATTTATACTTAATAAAAAGCTCGACTTATGATTGGAAATTTTTAAATCGTTTGCGTAAATTAGAATTTGGACGAACCATGACATTTGATGGAAATAAGAAAGCAGATGAGAGAGCATTTATAATGAAAGATTGTGAAATGACTACAATTGGTGCTGTCGGATGTGTAGAAGGAAAAATTGAATTTAATTCAGTTGAAGATCGGGTTATGAAAACAAACCTATTTTTTAGTTGCGATATATATTTACAGAATTTTGTTAAGTTTGGGATATTAGGAGAAAAGTCTAAAGATGAAAAAGCAAAATTTGAAGAAAAAATTTCCTATAATTTTACAGAGTTTGGTAAGGTATCATTAGAATTTGGTAATTATTTAGAGCCAACTTCAGAGTTTATTAAAGAGGTGGAAAATGCCATAAATCTTAAAGATCCTAAAAAATTTAAGAAAATTACGGAGAAATTTGGTCAATACATTCCAACTAAAGTGATTTTGGGTGGAAGAGCTTATTATAGAGAGTTAGAAATGTTGGAGGAATATTCCAAAGAAAATGGTTATGTAAGTACTATAAATACAAGTGGGATCGCTTCCAAAAGTTCTAACGGCAAATCTAATTCCTATAAAACTAGATGTTCAAAATTGATTGGAGGAGCACAACCTGCTAGTCTTAAAAAATTTGATGAATATGCTTGGATTCAATCTTTAAAAGATTATAGAAATTGGGATTGCATAGAATTTCAAAAACCAATTGGAATTTTCCAGCTTTTACCTGATCATTTACGTAAACAAGTAATTTCATCTTTAGGAAAAAGGATTCTTTATTCAAATATTAAACCTTACGAGTATTCTCTAGCAGCATATAGAAGATGGCCACAAGTCATTAATTTAGATATACCGTCACATATTTCAGAAATTATTCAAATCAAGGATAATGATTGTAGCATCTTTGCAACAGTTATTGATACAGAAAAGCCTCCAATAATCTCTTTTAAAGGAACGAATTGTTTTAGCTGTCAGGTCCTTTGTATGCCAGATGCAGATCCAAAACTTATAATTCATTGTATTCAAAAAGAAATTGGAGTTCGTGATTGCAAATTAAAAATCGGATGGATGGTTATTGGTTATTATAAAGATTTAAACTTTATTACAGATTTTGATGTTCAATTAAAAATTACCAAAATAGATTTTAATGCAACATCCAACTCACAATCTATGTTTGATAAAGAATATTTAGATTTTGAACATAATTCATTAATAAATAAAATTCCTTGTATTGGAATTCCTGTACTAGAAAAATTGGATTCTTCGAATATGTCTCTCGTCATTGGACATCATTTTTTTGATGATCAAGAAAAAAATAGAATTGGATCATACACATTTTCTTATTGTTTGGAGAAAAATCATTACGTTAATTTACCTAAATTTAAATTTTATACTCTTTCAATTAAAAATTATCACCCTAATACTTACGGTACACTGTATTTTAATCAAAATTCATATATCGAACTTAATAATCTTTTAAAACCAAAATATATTAGTTTATATTCCACGAACGAGAAAAATTGTGGTCCAATTTTTTTAAGACAAAAATTTAATCTAATTAAAATGAAAAATATTGATTGTAAGCATAAGAGCAATGATTGTCTTATTTGTACGTTAAAAATTTCAAAGAAACAAATTGAATGTAATTTCTTTGATCCGCACAAAAGGTATGTTATTTTTTTTCTTTCCTTTATTATTTCACAAGACTAATCAAAATAAATTAATTATTAGTGATGAGGTTAAGAATTAATATAAATTATATAAGTCCCAGATTATAATTATCAAAAAATAATTTATGAACACTTAATTTAAAAGTGTATAATGGTCGAGTCGATGAGAAATAAATATATTAATGATGTATGAAAATTTGAATTAACATCGTTTCTGTAAATAATATATATGTAAGTAATGATTTTTTTTTATATTATGATAGTATATTTTTTCAATTACTAATATCAAACCTTTATTTTCACAAAGTTTTAATGAATCCAAATTTATAAAAGGATCGATCTTTTACCTTTTGTTTCCTGAAATCATTGATCCAAAATCTTCACAATGTTTAATTTATATTATAAGTTTGCAATGTTAATTATATAATCATCATTATAATCTACCTTTATTTATTATAATATTAGATAAAAATTCAATAATTTCAGGATAGGATAATCACAGTCAATGCTAACATGTCCAACTTGTGTTAAAAAATTCGAAAAATTTAAATTTAAGTTTAAAAATACAATCATTATCCCGGTGGATTTATTTATTAACAGTAAATTTTATTAATCTATAAACATAGCAAATTTTTCATAAATAAAAATACATGAAATTTACGATCTAATTATCACTTTGACAATTATAAATACTAGATTTGAGGAATGTGATTCATTATGACCTTGATTCTTTAAACTTTCTTGCTGATAGAATTTGTTTGATGTGGAGTGCGAACATTTATAAATTCACTTATTTCCCGCGGGAATACATTAATATTACTCAAAATTTGATATATTAACTAATTCCCACACAATGTGGAATACAAACTTAAATTTTGAATCTATATTATCATAAATTTTGGAGAGTTTTCCTGCTCTTTTCATGAAATTTTTTTTTAAAATAAAATTAGAAAAGGTCTAATATATTATATTATTTATTAATTTAAATAAAGAAAAGAATAATATTCCCAATATTGCTTTGATTTTTAGTTTTTATTCATTTATACTACGCTTTTCAAAGAATTTGTGGTCGGAATAAACGCAGTTAATGGGAATGAACAAGTGACTAAAGAATCATGCCATAAGTTTGCAATTATTGATCAACATTGGGAAAATCTTGGGTTCTATTTTTTTTTTTAAAAAAAAAAAAAAAAAAAGATTCTGAATTTATTCTAATCAAATTATTTGGATGCAGCGATTCCTATGGTCATTGTTTGAACGCAATAAAGAAATTATGTTCTCCAAATGTCCGAAATGCGCATTTCGGACATTAACACATTTGGGCCTATAACACCTTTCTGTTTTTGTATTTGTTCTGCAACAAGCGATGATTTTTTTCCTATATTTTCGGGTTTATGTTTTACTTTTTCGGATGAAATTAAAATTTTAATTTGGGATAGTTCCACAACTTGGGGCATAACAGAACATTCTTTTTAGATTCTTCTTTCAGCTTGAATCGTTTCAGAAAGATATTTTTGGCTTTATCGCTTCAGGCAGATAGTCTCAGGCCACACTAGTATTATGATAATTTTATTTTTTATTCGAATTTGATTAGTCTGTTGAAAGACGAAATCGATTTCAATACAACATAGAATGCGTTAATGTATCACAGAATTATATAAAATCCATTAAATTAATTAAACAAGCCGTATCCATTGCTCATACATTGAGAGAATATAATTTTGTGTATTGAGATACAGTTTATGCTATCCATAAAAATGCTGTTTATTCCATGGAAATTTGGGAATTTTGTATATTCGGTTCCATTAATTGTTTTCAAAAGTTAAATATCAAAACAATTTTAATCTACAAATGAAATTTATATCTGAAGTTGAAATTCAATTGTCTGAAATTAAGATTCCAATTTCACGGTATAGTACAATGTTGCAGATCAGTATTTTTTTTATTTTTCACAAAATTTGAATCATACCTTACTGAATTGGTAGTATATACCAGGGAAACGGGGACTGTTATTAAGTCCAGACATTTTTATCAATTTGTGTAGTATATATACTTATATGCTAACGCTTTAGACTAATAAAGCTTTATTATAGAACCAGTACAGTATGGTACAAATTTTAGACAATTTGTTCTGATTTGTAGTGTATCATTATTAGAATTTTTAAAAATTTATATTTCTAACATAAAATAATTTTTAATTCAATGGTATGTTTGTCAAAATAAATTTAATAAATTAAATTAAAAAGAAAAAGCATTATTACATAAAATTTAAAAATAATTTTATAAAGGAGGATCAGTATTATGATAAATAATTTAATGTGATTTTATTAGTGTAAATTGGATTTCTAAGGCCTATGAGTGATAAAAAATTTCCTTTTTAAGTAATTTGTGTATACTAATGATAGGCCATTATTATATACCTTATTACCTTATATTAATATTAACATACTTACACTAATACTACACTAAATCTAATACTGACACTAACATTAACATTAACACTAATACTAATACTAACACTAATAACATTAATACTAAAAGGTAGAAGATAAAGTAGAGGTAAACATAAAGGAGGAATCTACTTCAAGAAATTTTTTTTTTATTATTTTATATTATTATATATTATTTATTCCTATTATTAGGTATTGATTTGATTAATAATAAATTAATTTATTCATAATTATTAATTAATAATTTTGTTTATTTTTTTTAATTTTTGATTTTATAGGTTAGATCAATAGATTTACCACTTTGGTTCATTACAGTAGCATAGTAAGGTGGTTACTTTTTTTATTATTTTATTTTATTCTTTTGATTATTAATCAAAATCTAATAGCTTTTTTTTAAATTTTAATTAGGACTAATTTTGCCTTTCAGATGAATGTGAATGCAGTACCTTCAGCTTATCATAATAATACAGTCAGATACTATAACATAACAAAATTTTCTTTTTATTATTATTTCTATTATTTATTATTAGCAATTTGATTCAAACTATGTCTCTGATTTCAGGATAATAAATATCTAATGTATTAAAAAATGTAATTATTATTAAAAAAAATAAATCAAAAGTTTAATTGCTTAAAAAAATAAATAATATATTTGAATAAAATTTATAACCTGAAAACATAAAATATTAATTAATTAAAAATTAATTAAAACTACTAAAAAAAATAATCAAAACTAAAATTAAATTTAAAAAAAAATAAAAATTTGAAATTAATAAAAAAAAATACGAAAACAAAACTAAAATTAAAAATTTAAAAAAAATAAATAAAAAATGAAAAAAAATTATTAAACGAAAAATAAAAAATAAAAAATAATAAAAATATAAATTACTTTAAAATAAAAATTAAAAATTAAAAAAAAATTAAAAAAATTAAAATTAAAATAAAAAAAAAATAAAAAAATAAAAAAACTGAAATTAAAAATAATAAAAAAAAAGAATAAAAAAATGAATAAAAAAATAAAATAATAAATTAATTAAATAAGATTAATGGTATAAAAAAAATATAAAATTAAAAATAAAGATTAAAAAAATAAAAAAACTGAAATTAAAAATAATAATAAAAAAGAATAGAAAAGGAGAAAAAAAATATAAAAAAATATAAAAATATAATAAAATTAAAACTATCATGATAGTAATTCCAATATTTATTAATAATTTTTATATAATATATCACAAAGAAAAAATAATATTTATTCATTTATGATTAAATAATTACATTTTTAAATTTAATAGATTAAAAATAATTCTGCCTATTTAGATAAAAGTAAGTACATGTAACATTTCAGATAGATCCTTCAGCTTATCACAATGAAATAGTCAGATACTTAACAAAAATTTCTTTTATTATTTTTTCTATTATTTATTTTATTATTTAATCTATAATATTTTCTGTAAAGTTTAGTGTAATTCATAGTATCAAAATATAACTTCACTTTTATCTTTAAAGAAAGTATCTAATTTAATCCTATAAAATAAATAAAATATATTAGTTGATTAATCAACTAAATCAAGAAAAAAGATAAATAATAGAAAAAGAAGAAAGAAAATTTTAAAATTTATCACTTTTTCACATATATTTCTTAAAGCATAAGTATAAATTAGTTATAAAATATTATAGAAAAATTATAATATTTTAATATCAGTGATTATAAAATATAAAATAAAGTTTATTAGATTTGTAATATTAAGATATACAGTATCTTATGATAGTATTTTTAAATTTTTAAAATTAATAATTATTAATATATATTAATATTTTAATTATATAATTTTGTAAAATAACTTATTATTTAATAATTATAAGAAAATAAGAAGATATATAACTCTAATGATCACTTAATCAAGAATTTTTATATAGAAAATGTGTATATTCAAAGGTGATCACAGATTAGCTTATGAATAAAAAATAAAACTCACTTTTCAAACTTCTTTCTCTTTTTATTCTTTCAAACTTCTTAATTCAAAAAAACAGTTTTTATTAGTCCAACAGTTGTTTTTTTATTTTAATATTATTTCGCAACTTTTTATAACTGATTTTTTATTTTTTCTCCTTTTTCTTTTACCTACAAAAGTAAGAGTATCAGAAGGTATCCGAAATAATAATCAGGATTAGTAATAATTTTAAATTAACTAATTATACATGATAATTTTTCCATTATCTTCTTAAACAAGCATACTCTTTTTAAATATATGATATTATAAAGTCTACTGATCTTAATAGGATTTTTTGGTTTCTTACAACTGTATAATTTGAGCTCTATACAATACCTACCAGTAGCTATAATCTGAATTGATAGATATTTTAGCATAAAAGTTTAAGAGTACCAGAGAGCCTTTATGGTGTTCTTGTGCTAAGAGGTTACTGTAATCAGAAATTAACTAGACAATTTAGCTAGAAACTTATTGAAGTCATATTTTTTATTAGCTTCTTTTTTAGTTTAACAATAATTTAAGTTACTTATTTTTATATCAAATTTAAATTTAGGATAGGAATTATTGTTAGAAAAAGAGAAAAACGTAATAATAATTTAATTATTATACATAGAGTTTCGAATGAGTCAAGTCGAGTTG